CAATCCACTTTCCAATCTTAATGCCATGGCCTTCCTCATCATAATAACCACCACCACTAATACAATAATAAAATATTATAAGAGAATTTTACACTTCCTAAGCATAATACTTCAACTACCAATGCCATCTACCAATTTTTTTTTACCGTTTTCATACTCTCCCCTGCAACTGAGTTAATTATCCCTAATTTTATTGATGTCCATAGTTATACCTATCAAACCTATTACCAAATTCAATCCATTTCCCAACTTTCTTTGTTAATCCAATATCAATCTCATAATATGAACCTCCACCACTAAAGGAAAAGTGCTGAAATAATATTTTTACATATTTTTCCATCCAAAACTTGTATTCCATCTACCAATTTTATTATTATTCTGATAATCCCCTTTCCAAGTGATTAAACTTGAACTAATTAAAAAATTATATTTAAGGTATAAATACTTCCTAAATCCCTCATTCAATTCAACCCATCTGCCTTATTTAATTGCCTCAGGAAATTATCCATCTATCTTGTCTTCATACAATCCACCCCCACTATTTAATAAATCTAAGCTTAAATTTACATCAATTTAAAAGATTTTTCATCCTTTTCCTTCCAGTAGATTTCCCATCTACCAATTTTTATATCATTTTTATATTCACCAAAATAAATGACTTTACTGGAACTACAATTTGACATTTATTTAAAATTCAACGTACCTTTAGAGCAAACTACTCAACTCATGCCATTTGCCTTATTTCATACCAAGACGGCTTTCATCTTCCTACCCGTCATCATATTCTCCAAAACCACTTATACAGGTAAATTAACACATTTAGTAAATATATTACATCTAATGAATTGATCCATAATCATCCATAATGATATAAACCTCCCATTTCCCTACTTTGATACCTTTCTAATATTCTCCCACATACATAACTTAATTATTACTATATTAGTAAAAGGTTTACCTATGAAATCCATCACTGGGCTCAAACCATTTGCCTATCTTAAATGATTCACTTCCTTCTTAATTATCATATGATCCACCGCCACTAATAAATGGAGAGTATTATTAGAATAGTATTATACATCAACTCAAATTGCTAATAAATTGTTTCCCTATATTAGAAGTCCCATCTGCCTACTCTCTTGCCATTTTTGTATGCACCCTCAAAAGTGATTTAACTTTTACTAATCAATAAAATTGATATCGTATATACACAAAAAAGTTATTGGTTAATTCAATCCATTTTCCTTACTTCCCTTAATTGTCATAGTACCCACCACCACTAACATAATAAAAATAATAAACATTTCTTCATTTTCTAGAGTGTATTTCCATTACCCAATTTTTTTATCATTTAAATATTCTCCACTTTCATACACTTAAAACTGCCTTTTTAAATAAAATATTTCAATCACTTGGAGAAATTTTAGAATAGTTAATTCCATAATCCTTATTTATTTCCATCCTCTGAGTATACTCTTCCTATACCAATTAATGCTTCTCCTTGCCATAAGGCTGTCCACCTTCCAATTTTTAATAAATTATTTCCATATTCACCTATCCATTTAAGATGTTTTATATGCTCTACATTAGTGAGTATCTCACTTTATTGGAGCTCTTGATTTCTAATTTTCTCACTAATTTTCATCTTCCATAAACAATTACCTCCTCATTATTGATCCATCATCGGATATGTAATAGATTATGTTGTTTATAGGTTGTGTCACAAAGAATGAAGTCTTCAGAAATCTTTTGTAAATAGCGTCCCAAAGTACACATTCCTATTCTATAATCCCTTCAAATTTATTATCATTTCTCTAATTTTTTCGAGAGCAATTGCAACAAAAAGTGAACATATTCCCCATTTATTTAACTTTATAAATTATATATCAAATAAATTATTATTAATACATTGATCAATGGGATATATTGATAGATATTTAAATTAATATTAAGGAATATTGATTTTTTATTACCACTAAAAATTAAGTAACCATCAAATTGTTATCTGAAAATTGAAAAAACTCGAGCAATCAAAGATATTACCTAAGTTGAAATAAATTTCTATATGAATTCATTGCAGAATTAGTTATATTGATTTATAATATAATTTTGACTAAACTCTTCATATTAAAATAGCCATAATAAAATATGTAAAATTTGAAATTAGCAGAAAAATGCTTGACAAAATAGTGAGATTTACAAGTAATCAAAAATTATTTGTTAACATTTCAAAATTAATCAAAATTATTAATCACAAAATTCATCCGATAGCCCAGTGCAACCTTTTCAAAAATTAGATCTAAATAAATTTTTATAAACAAAATTTGCTACCTCCAAGATAGAGAGCATATTTAAACTTATACGATTCTAGAAATTAACCAAATTCTTTAAAAATAATTTATTTTAAATTATTATTGTATTACATAGATATTTTTATAAATTATTATGAAATTTTTTATCTATGTAGAAAAAGAATAAGAGAATTGCATCATCAATTTTATAATTATTTTTAGTTATAAAAAAAAAAAAAAAAATACTATTTGATATAGTAAATAATAAAACTAAATCTATCCTAAATTTATTCATGAAGTAAGGAAGTTTATACCTCTTATGTGTGGCTTCTCTCTACAAAATAATTAGAATTAACACTCAAGTCCATGTTAAATATGCAAATGCATAAGTGTGAAATTACAGGGCTTAAAAACCTCAGCTTATATTGAAGGAAGATGGTAGTATTAATTAATCAAGATTTTATAGAATTGATTAAAACACTGGATTGAGTGTTCTAAATCGTATGCAAAATATTTAAGAAATAGTGTTGGCTATGTTATATTTGATGATGCAGTGAAGGAGATATTATACATATTTTAATACATAGGTATTAAAATTGTCCTAGCAATATACAAATCTTTAGTTTAGCTTTTATGTGTGCTTATTGCTAAAAAATAAATGGAATAAGAGTGCCACATTTAGTCCATTCAAGAACCTTAAATAAATTGTTTAAGTAATAGTAATTGTATTACTGTTATTTTATTTTGAATAGATGGAATATTTGAAAATACTGTAAAGGATGTGAAATTCTTAATCAATTATTCAAGAATGATTGTGCAAGTGTTTAAAATACTATCTCTATGTGCGTATGTCTATTCCAATTTATCATTTGCTAAACTATATTAGTAGTTATATAGTATATGCATAGACCTGAAATCTACTGATCATGCAATGTTCATTTTTCATAATTTATTTGAGCCAAATAATGATAAATATATTTTAATAAAGTTAGGTATCTTTTTTAAGAAAGTTATTGATAAGAAAATTGCTAAAGTTGTATTCATCCAATTTAGACTTTTCTTATAACAGCTACTAATTCATATGTTTGGGTTTTTGGATCAATTAGGAAATTAGTTTAATTTTGATGATGGGTAATTTCAAATAGTACATGTTTGCCTAGTAGATTGTCATTCTTAAACTGATTTTTAGGCGATTATCAATAAAACTGCTATCTATCACGTCATAATAGAATTATGTGTCTTTTATTCATCATGTCCATTAAATTTTCCATTATGTAAATTTGTTTATTTTCTCAGATAATATAATAAATTTTTATTTCTTTGAATAATAAACAAGTATCTCCAACTATAATAATAATCTTATGACTCTATCACAGAGTAACATTTGTTTAAGTTGAAGAATAATATAACTATAGAAAATGTGTTTAATAGAATGTTAGCTTTGAACTAATAATTTGTTTACTTAGAAGGGTAGATATAAAAACTACTATTATTAGTGTTGAGATGAATTGGTAGAATTATCATCAATTGAACAATGAGATAAGGTAATCAAATAGAAATGGATGGATTTTTCAATGTTAATATGAATGCCTTCTTATTATTTATAATAACTATCATTTTTTGTAATGATTTGAAGTTGATAATACAAATATTCCTTTGGAGAGATTTCTAGTTAAATTAAAGTAAATTGAGAACTTAAGAATTATAGCATTAATGAATAGAAATAAAATTTGAATTTTAATAGAAAAATCAAATTATTAATAAACAAAATTTAGATTGTATTAATCACATATCAACAACTGCAAATAAATTAGTTTAAGTCACCATCCTAGTTATTTCATTTTGTTCTCTTTTTACTAGATAGGCTTTAATTCGTTTATACATTATATAATTGAATCTGATCACAGGTCCAAATAAGCTAATTAATAAGATTCCTATTTATCCAAAACCTAATAGAAATTACTAATCAAGACTCAAAAGTTATTAAAAATCGGAACAATATAATATACTTGTGCTAGAATTGGTAAATATATTGACTATACTATAAAGAACATTACAGGAGCTTCCATCCAAACCACGATAAACATGTCAAATTTGTACTTTATAAGTTTAATAGTAAAAACCAGGCCAATATAACTAAATGTTATCATCAAACATTAAAAGGCGCCAGCATTCTACAATACAATTAAGATTAAAATGAATGAAAGTTTCTTGAATAAGATAACACCTTGATGCTATTCATTTCTAACGTTTGTTAACTTAATTTTCCCATTTTGCTTCTAAAAGTGCGAACTAAGAAAAAAAGATCACTAAACTCAAACGCCCAATACTAAAGAAGTAAGAGAAAAATGTTCGATATCCTGATTGATAATTAGATTTGAGAAATAAAATTACTTTAAAAAGTAAGTCCCAACTATTGGCATAAAAGATTTATCGAAATCCTCCCATGCTGATCATAATCTTTAATCCTAATAATCCTTTAATCATTTAATAATATTTAATAGCTATGAATTCAAGGAATCTTGATTTACTTCTTCTTATGCAATAGAAATATCTTGAAGTGAAGCAATAATTAAGAAAAACTTCTGAAAGACTCTTGAGAACATCAATATTATTAAGAGAAATGATAGTTAAAGAATTTGCCCCTTTATATTTACGAATAAATCAGCATTTACTTAATATTCTGATAGTTTTCCGTAACTTTAAATATAATTTGCACCAATGGCTGAGTCGAGAACACCTGAAATCTTAAAATTAACAAGTATTGGATTGATTGATACAAAATCGGATGATTAAAAGTAAATTTAAAGATTTTAAGGGTAGTTGACATTTACAAATTTTAAATATGTTTAAAATAATAATGTATCTAAAATTTCTAAACTTAAATCTATTCTTCCAAACAGCAACATTATGATGGAAATAATTCCTAATCTTAACATTATCTTGTTGCCAAGTTCTTAGAATGAATTAGCAGCTTATAATTAAGTGCTATATAAGATTTAGGGTTTTTAGAGCATTAATATTTATTACGATTATTTCATTAACATGTTATTAACATCAATGATAGAAGCATTGAAAGCAACAGTTAAATTTGGCTATGCTTAAATTGGTTGGAATATTGTAATTTTGATATTAAACACAGCAGGCACAAACTCTGCATCATTAGAATCAATTATGCTTAGAACCTACTTCTTGATTATGCTGGATAAACAATGATATTATATTCATTTAGATCTAAATTATCTATTTGACAGTGTAATGAATTTGTATAATTTTGGGAAGTATCTTTTAATTTTACAAGATTAGAGAATGACAGCTAGACATATTAATCCTAGTATGTTCCATTTAAATAGTACAACGAGAAAATGGTCGTAGAAAAACATTTACTGGGTTCCTATTCATTGCAAACTCAACCAGCCTCTATATTACAATTACTCGAGCAACCATCGTTGTTTAATATGTTCCAATCATCACATTCCTCATCATTAGATATCAATCCATCACCGCATTGCAATTAAATTTTAACAATTTCAACTTCCATATCAGATTCATCTTCATAATTGATGATTCTTTGGCAACCTTATAATGTTAATTCAAAACCATATATGCATTCTTAACATATTCTTTCAATACACTTTGAACAATTGATTTCACATTAATAATTGCACTAATAGCAACCATCATATTCAATATCATTTAAATCTTCACATTCTTCAAGACCTTACACAATTATGCCATCTCCACAAATAGGAGTACAATAGGTATTGTCAATCAATTAGAAGTACTGATTACAAAGCATGCAGATATTGGAGTAGAGCAAAAGTAACAGTTTTAATCGCATTCATATTTACATTCATGACATCCATCATTATTCTCGTAATTTCCATCATCACATTATTCTTATGAATTGAATGCCTACATTCCATCTCCACAGATCTAATAACAATAGTTATTTATTAGAGACCAACCATCAATGCAATCATAACACTAATTTTATTTACATTATCTACATTCCAATTAACAACTCGATTAACATTTATAGCATTCATCAAACTGAACATTATTTTAATTATCGCAAATTTCACTTTACAGTACTACCCCGTCTCCACAAATTGAATGACATTCTTTATTCTTTAGTTTTAATTGATAATATGGCTGACACTCCAAATAAACATCAAACAATTATTCTTTACAATTAAATATTCTATCTAAGCTACATTAATTATAATAATAACCAAATATCCATAAGATTATTGATTACAATATAATTATTTTACTTACTAAACACCTATTTAATAGTCATATAATAATGCATGCTAATAAAACCCATTTTCTATTAAGTTTGTAATTTAATTATTGAACTCTGCTTTTTATCTTATTTTAGGACCATCGTAATAATTATGCACATATATACACTAATGTTCAATCAACCTATATGATTATAAACACTCTAAACATTTCCCAAATTTGCAATTTTCCCAGAACTTTTAACAAGAAAATTTGCATTGATAACAACCATCGTATGGAATTGCGTTTCCATCATCGCATTCCTCTAAATAAGTAATTATAGAATCCCCACAAATTGGAATGCATTTTCTTTGTGACTTTTAATATTCCCATCCTACTTTGCTTAAATACAATTCACAAGTAATTCAGAACTCATTTACTATTAATCTGGAAATGTATTAAGGATGTAAGAGTAATCATATTGAGATTGAGAAAAAATAATTGATTAAAAGAATAAGCCCATAATCATGACGAACTTGGAATAAATAAAACATCTTAAATGGGAAGGGGATTATGGAATTAATAATACATAGACTGGTAAATGGATAGCGTTTTGGAAAGGAAAATAATTAGATGTAGGAGGATATTATGATGAGAATGGTTCTAAAATAGGAAAGTGGATTGAATTGTTTGAAAATTATTGGGAGTATAAATTATTAATTTAAACAGCTTTTCACCAGTTACATATGTTGGCGAATATTAAGTTGGAAATAAATAAGGAAGATGGGATACATTTTACGATAAATAGAAAATGTAATCGTTTACAAATAGACTTAATTTAGAGGAGGAGGTAGTTATTAGAATGGTAATAAAGTTGGTTTTTGGACTGATTTATACGAAAATTATTATTGGTGATTATGCATTATATCTTATTAGCTCATGTAAAGTTACTCATACAGGAGAGTATTAGGACAATTATAAAATTGGTAGATGGGATACAATGTTTTAAAACAAAATTATGTATAAAATATCATTTAGAAATTTATAAAATACAGTGGAAGTACTGATTATGATCAATATGGATTGAAAAATGGAATAGGAATAGAATTAAATGAGGATTTCTATTAGTATAATAAAGATCATTAGTTTAAAGTTGTTGTTAAGTTATATACAGGGGAGAATTTAAAAACAATATTATGGTAGGTAGATGGGATACAATTTTTTTGGAAAATAACACAATCATGTAACAATTATTATCTTCATTTATTATAGTGGAGGAGGAAATTATGATATAAATGGTTTGAAAGAGGGCTTGTGGGTGGATTTACATGATGGATTTAATATGTAATCTATCTTTAAGTAAAATTTAGATACTATAAACACATCTAAACTGGAAACTATTAAAATGGTATTAGGTAAGGCTAATTTATAGAATCATAATTATCTTGAATTATTTTATTTTAAACCAATTACATTATGAGGATGCTATTTAATAATTATTAATTTCTAATATTTCATTCTTTGTGCGGTATATTAAATTAAAAGAAATATGAAATTTAGAATTACCTTAAGTTTTTTTAATTTAACTTAAATAAAATAAATGGACAATTTTATTATGAATATCTAAAATATATAACTATATCAATAGAACACTTATTCATCAATAAGTCAGAAAATTATAGAAATAATAATTAAGATTATCTGTTTGTTTTTAAATATTTTGTTTTCGAGACGAACGAGTTGTTTTTATTCTAGAATATTACTAATTGATTTCATTGGTCCCAGGGCAACATATAAAATGGAAGAGGAAGAGCTTATTAAACTCAAATCAGATTGTTTTTTAATTTAATTTAATATAAAATTAAAATTAATTAGCTTATGATGAATAAAATATATATTTAATTTGAATTTTCATTTGTTGTTTATAAAAAGTAAATATATCTAACTTTTGTTATTCCATTTTGTTTTTCAACTTAGGCCTAAGGGAAAAGATGATTTTTCAAATCCTAGAATCGCTTTGCAAAATGAGAGTCTATATTTAGAGTGGTTGTAGAATTGGTTAATTAAGATATTTAGCCTTTAAAATTTCCAACAGTCTTCTACCTTGGTACATTTAAGACTAAAGGTTTACCTTTAAAATTTTTGCTCTACATCATTCTATCAAGCTCATTTGTAATTTAAAAATGAAAAGATGAACCTATAGTAACATATGATAGTTTTATAAGGTATTTATTTGGTTTAAGGCTTTAAGTTGTTTATGCAATTTAGTATAATCATTCTTACCATCAGTGATCAAACAGATGCAGATTTTTTTAGTCTTCAAAGCATAGTTCTTCTCTTCAAACTGTTTAAAAATATCAACTAAGCTTGAATATTAATATTGGAAATCAAATAATGAAAATTTTGTGTTTTACCAAAATAATTTAATGGTTTCTATTTAAGAGAATTCTTAATTAAAATTCTAAATAGCTGAATCTATTTCATTTTTCATTGAGTCATTTTTGTCAAAAATGGCAACGACGAAATTCTCCCTCTCATCATTTTCTGGTCTAATTTGAGATTTAAGGGATTCAGGGAGAAACTCAAATTCATCATTGATATCTGGGATTGCCATAGATTATTATATGCCGATGCCTGCATGAGCTAATACATTATCAAGAATTTTAATAGCTTCTTTTTGGAGGCAAGGCTTTCTTAATTAATCTAACTGAATCAATTTCCTTCATCATCAGATTCAACCCCTTTAATAGATCATATGATTCTTCATCGACCTTGGCCAATTAGACTGAATCAAGCTCAATAAGAGTGGATTTATAGTATTCATTAAGAATTTCTACTATTGTTGATTTTGAGTGAATAAGGACTTGTATTTTTTTAATCCATTAATAATAATTTCTTTGGCCATAGTGATTTATGCAGACTCATAAGTTTACTATAATTATTGAATCTATTTCATTTTAGCTTGAGCTCTAGCATAACACCCTACATTTTTTAATTTTTTCTTTTGGATTGCATTAATGTTATCAGGCTCTAAATCTTTTAAATTATCACTTACTGATATTTATTGTGCTATCAGTTAAATACCAGCAGAAGCATCAGGATTTGACAATTTAGCTTATAAATCTGTTAAAGTATTTGGAGTGCATTAATCTAAATCAACATCTCCAACTGCAAATTAGTTCACAATTAGAATAGCATTATTAAACTGAATGTCAAGTTTTTATTCCTGTTCTGTCTATCCCTATTATTGATTGTCTTATTTCACTTCATTTACTACTAAATCAGAAAATTCCTTTATTGCTTAAAAAAATTTTTCTAATGCTTTTTCATCAACCTCACTAGCAAATAAGATCAATACCTATTAAGCAGATTTAACTAATATGTCTTTTTTATCTTTTATATCATTTGAAGGTTCTATTGGTTAACCATTGATGCTAACTTACTCTCAGAAATAAATAGTGCTCCAGCGGGTAAAGTATTTTAAGGATTAGAAATTAACGTCAATTTTACTTCCTTATCTGTCTCCAGTAGGTCTTAGTACACTAGAGATTAAGATCTAATTATTTGAAAAGTGTAGGCAAAAAAATTAAACATTTCATCTTCTGTGCGTTCTGGGTTTTTGTCATGATGATAAATAGGTTCAATAAATTCTGTATTATGAAGTTGTGCTCTCAATTGATTTGAGATAGTATTCGGAAACCATTTCCCTATTGAAATAGAAACAAATTATATTTAATATTTTTTTCCTTAATTTTTTAAATCAACTCTTCAAGTTCAGTCAAAATGAATTTTTCATCGCCATCACTAATAAAGATTATTGTAATATGTTATGGAAACTCTTCAGACAACAATTTGTTTAAAACATATTTGAATGCTTTAATAATGTCACCTGACCCAGCTGCCATAAAAGGCTCAAAATCATGGACTTCTTCTGTAAATTGAAATTTTAATTAGTCTTCGAGGTCATCGAAGTTTTTTAGTGAGCCTTCAAAATTGCCTCATATTCAAAATTCATTGAACTTGTACCATCCAATAATGTTATTGGATATGATTAAACTTTTTGGACTAAGGGGCCCTTCCAATTAAATTTTTCATAAAATTATTAATGTTATTGTGAAATATTTAGTATAAGGATATGTACATATATTTAAATTCTATTAATTTATATTGGAAAAAATTAAATAATTATCCCTAATGAATTAAATAAATTTCTAATATAAAGAGATAATCACTTTAAAATTGGATAATAAAAAATTACAATTTACATTGACTATCAAATATTCTTTGATTTATTATTTCTTCAACTTAATACCTCATCTACTGTCATTCTATCAATAACTTTATTTTTGAAAAGTTGATGTTTAAGCTTCGATAATTTCATTCACTCTAATCAAATTGATGAACATCTAGACCAGTTAACGAAGCTAAATCAATTAGGTCTACACTTATTTGTAAAAATGCATTATCCTTTGTTTCTCTTCATCCTCTCCAACTAATACATTCTAATAATCAAAGCCAATTCTTTTCTTAGGGCCATGGAATAATATTGTTCATTTTGTTCTCAATTAAACAGCAAACTCTTTTTAATGAGTTGTTATACTAACTTACATTGCTATTCGCATTTATTAGATAGATAATTGTAAGAAAATCATCGATGTTCGTGTTTAAGGCTAAAATCACACCGTCTGTGCGTTTATGTAAGACTTGAAATATTGTTTGATATTCACCCAATTGAGCAGAATGAACTCTAATTTTAATGTAATACTAAACTATCTAATTATTAATATTAATTTGGAATTTATTTAATTGGTAGTTGATTTTTTTAAATTTCAAATTAGTAATAGATCAATAAGAAACTATCGAATAGAAAGAATAGATTCAAATTAATTTTGACATCACTCTATTAAATGTACAGTTATTAATTCTTTTTCTCAAAATTCTTACTCTAAATATCACCAATCATCATTTTATTAAATTATCAAAATTCTATTTCTGAAAGCAAAACAAAATGCATGATGAATATTCGTAAAATTAGAATAATTCTATATTTGTAATTATATTTTTCTGTCATTTACATGCTTAAATTAAAATTTTCGACTAATCACTTCCTTAAAATATAAGTAATTATTTATATCAAAGAGAATAATATAGAAACTAAATATCATTACAAATTAAGATTTAAGAGTTTTTTATGAATGATTTATTGTAAAGAGGGAATTTATGAACGATTAAGGCCATTAGAAAAAAATAATCAAGAAATACTTTTGCTAGTGACTTGAAATGATAATTTAGACTTTAAAAAGAATTTGGTAAAATGAAATGCTTATAATTTTGAATTATTTATGAATAGGAACCTAAACTTTAAAGTATAAACAAAGATTCTAAGAATATTCTGAGAATTCTTTATTGTTCTAAATAATTATTGCCAAATGAAATTACGCAAAATTTGTATGAGAAATTGAGCAGATGAGAATCTAATATAGATCTATTCAATGCTACTTATAAAATATAAACTCATTCTTCTAATTCTGTTTTTTCAGGTATAAAATCATTTAATAAATCACAAGGAGCTAGTACATCGAATATAACTCCTTCTACAATCACATTGTATTAATATTTTGAACCTATTATCATGAATAAATTAAAAAATTAGGATCATAAGGTTAAGGATTTTATTGGATGGGTTATTCTTTTGTAAAATTAGCGAATAGTTGAGACTGATCGTGTTGATTATTGGTTGCTAAACTTGATTTTATTTAAGATTTCTAATTGAGACAAGAGGTATTTAATTTTAATTCCATTTAATAAATTAAAATAAGTTTATTCAATTTGCAGAATTAATATTAATCCTTCTAAATATTTTATAGTTATAATTCCGTTAATTAGCTGAAGCTATCTTCAGTGACTTTAAATGATGACTCCTTCTGAAGGCTTATAAATGAGTTTGGTTTTCTTAATCCCTTTTTTTGTAAATTCATATATCATGTTCCTCTTCATCATCTTTTGAAGTTGAATAGCTTTACCAAACTTTAATCTTGTCATATGTTTTATAATCAAATAATAGTGTCTGATAACCTTGCTTTTTGAATACTTTGACCTTTGATTATGGGTTCAATTTAATTATCGTGTTCTCCTCTCATTTTATATACTTTCCAATTCTAATTAAATTTTACTTATGATAATTTGTTAATATTAAGCAGAATTATTCTTAACCCTTTTGATATGTTCCTTTTTTAACTTATAAGGTTTTGAGTTATGACATCTTAATGCTTTATTGAAATAATAACCATCACCTAAGAGAATAAATTTCCTGAAAATTTTTAATTTTAATCTGCAATCGTATACTTTTGATGTTATGTTTTCGCTTCTCAAACCCTTGTGATTCAGTAATTTGATAATACAGAGTTTTGTATTTTTGCATCACCAATATTTTACTAATTGAACTGATATATTCATATCAGAATTGAATAACAACTGCGTAATAGTGTAATTGAATTCAATTTATTAACTACATTCATTTTTATTATGTTCTCAATCAATCAAAACTTTGAGAAGGCAAATTATTAATTGTTGGGGGATAATACGACTCATTAAGATGAATGGTGCGGGGCTGTTGCAATAGATGAAAAACATGATTTACTATTTGTAGGTCACTTATTCGTCATCAAGGTATTCTAATTTAAAAATGGAGCTTTGAATACATTAAATCTACTTTTCAACCATAAAGATTTTGTTACATCTCTAAGTCTAATGTAAAAACAATCTTTTTTCTTATCTGGATCTCATGATATGAAGATTGTTGTAATGTCTGTTCATTTGATGTCAAATCCTAAATACATCATCAAATTAGCAAGTCATATGAATTCAATTAATCAAATTTTGTCACATCCGATTAACAAAGAAATGTTTATATCTAGCAGCAAAGACCATACAATCAAATTTTGGAGAATCTCATCGAGGATATCTAAGAAGCATTGTTTTCAAACAATAAACCATCACAAATAGTCTGTTATAAAATTATCCATTAATGAAGATGGAACTACACTAATATCTCTTGGGATGGATTAATTAATATTAGTTTTGACTCAATAAGAATTATGTTGGGTTGTAAAATAGAAAATACATGTCAGTAAAGAAGGTCCAAACATACTCTTTATAACAAACGAAATGTTCATATTTTAACCTTATTAGGGTTTCTTATAGGAATAGAGCTCCGAAACTATATGGGTTTATAAGTTGGAAAAAGAAAATGAATAGTATTCATTATTTTAAAATATAAAAACAAGTGACAACCTCTAAGCTTGTATAGGATCCTTTCCATTGTTTTACAATCATCAGTAAAACTGCTTTTATTTTAGAATGGTAATTCACTTAAGATTATGAAATTATAAAATCTGGAGAAAGGAGAATTCACTTTAGAGCAGGTCATCTCATTTAATTAATCCTTACCAATCAATCCTTTAAGGTTTATTTGTGGAGCAATAAGCAAGGATTGGTAATATTTAGTAACCTGGGATAACACTTCTTGTTGTCTTTAAGTGAGGAAATAAATTGAATAAGAATGACTATGAGAATTCATGATAATATTCTTAAAATTTTAATGGAATAAATAGAAATATATAATAAAATTAAGAATTTTATCTAAGGTTGATATAAAACAAATAAAAAAAATTGTGAAAACATGAGATTTGAAGTTGATTCAACGTTTTATAAAAAAAGAGTCTAATCGAGTTTTTCAATTTCCTCATTCTTATAAATATACTATTATGACAAAAGATAAACTATACAAAAAATAATATATTATGTTTTTTACCTTCATTTCATTGATCAAATTAATAAATGTAGATTATGAAATAAAACTATAAACAACCACCTATTTTTAAATTAGTAGTATATATATTATTTGAATTAAAAAAGTTGATTTATTATAAATTCCATATTTTTAATTGAAAAAGAATTACTAGTATTTTCAAAATATAATTCATATAATCATATTATTATTCATAAATGCCTGAAGTATAAGATAAAGCGAGGAGGAATAATAATGATCGCGAGGAGTCGATATCTTAATTATTTTTCAATTTAGTTACATGTACTTTTTAAACAGAGTTTGGTTATATTTGTTTGGATGTGTGTGTGTCTATTAGTTTGCATTATATTTCCTAAGAGTATGCTGTATCAATTTATTAGAATAAACCCAATAGCAAATGCAGGTTATGGTTTCTCATTGACTTGCGTATACAGGATATTAACACCATTTGGTTTTGGACTTAATTAATCATTAATTATGCATACATCATAAGCATTGGGAGCGAATAAAATAACTCTTGCAAAAGGGTACTTTAATTTAAATCTTTACGTGATTCCTGCAACACTAATTCTTTTGGGAATTTTTCTTTTAATTTTAAAATACCCTCTAAGTTTAATTATGGCAGAGGATTAACGATAATAAACATCTGATTACTCTTAAGAATTTTATATTATTTGATACCAGCCTTTATTCTGGCATTTCAATTTGAAAGCGTAAAATGTTTTATGGTAGAGCATAAAGTAATATACCCTTTTACAATAATCCACTTTTGTACTCTACTTACTCATTGGTTATTTTGCTGGATTTTTATAGTGTATTTTTAATGGGGAGTGCCAGGAGCAGGAGCAGTGATAATTCTAAAAGAAATCTTTAACATTATAGGACTAGTCCGTAAAGTATAGGTATTATAATTTAGTTTTTGTTGAGAATACTGATATAAAAAAGGAAATAATTGATGGAACAAAAATCCTACCTGATTTAGATAGGTTTAAGAAATTCGGACTTCAATCTATCAAAACTTCATTTTTATAGTTTTGCATTTATTTTCAGAACTGTTTGTTTTTTTTACTTTATCATTTATTGCATTGAGTTTAGGGCAAAATTGTTGTAAAACCATAATTGTGTGATGCGCAAAACAATCAAATTTGTTTGGAGCTGTTCATATCTAAAACTATGAATGCATATCTGATTGTAACCGTAAACTAGCAATACAAATGCCACATCAGTACACAAAAAGTAGAAAGAGGTTTGAATGTTAGAGCTTAGAGTTTATAGCTGAACAACAAGTATTAATGGTGACATTATGTAGAGTTAGCTAGCTTCACCTTTCAAGATTATTAATTAAAGGGTATGCAGTAATCCTTTAGCTATAGATACATCTGGAGGTCCTGACAATAATATTTAACAAGATTTACATTTTAGAGGGGATCAGAAGTTTATAAACATCTGGAAAACAATAGTGAAGTAAGAAATTGCCCATTAGTTACATGAAGAATATGCTAAATAGATGTCAGAAATAAGCAGCGATATCATAATATTTTAAAAGATAATTTGATCCTAAGAATCAGACACGGTGATCTATTATAATATTATTACAGAATAATTTTGTAGATAAACATGATGCCCGATCTTTAATCTATTTCAGAATGGCTGCCGCCTCAATAAAATTCAATGTTTAACTTAGGAAGCACTAATACAAGTTTTGCTTCAGCACTGCCTGACTGTATTGGTTTAAGAAGAAGAGCAGAGCTGTTGTTCAGGTTACGAACACGATCACTCGAACGATAAACATTATTAATTGCAATATCAATACTAAAGAAAAAATTCTGCATTTTAATTGTCCTGTTCCTAATATTAAGGTTTAACGTAAAAATAAATTAAGAGATAATAACTCAAAGACAAAAAATGACACATTTTTCAATTCTAAAATAATTATGGCTTGCAAAATATTTTAGAGTGACAGACGCTATTTAGAATCAGGTCCAAATGTAGAAAAGCACCTTTATAATTTTAAATGTCGTCATAATATCCATCACATTTATAGTAGTTTCAATAATTATATATCAGATACATCATGCTGAGGCTATTTATTGAATAAATTTAGTGAAGGAACCAGAAACTAGACACTTTTCAAATTGCAATATGCATTTATCTATAAAATGCGAAAGCTTGTTAAGGGTATCGGTAATCAACACAAACATCTTTTTACTACGCTTGCCTATGAAGTAAAAAGCTTAAAGGGTTAGAGCTGAACAAGTATCATAAACAGTTATACATAATAAGCATAGTGTTCATGTAGTGAAATTGGTTAAAAAATATCAAGACTTACATCAGACGCAACTTGCAATACATGTTGTGCATATAGTTGAGTTTGGTCCAGAATTATTTTTTTATTCTAAAATAAGACAGAAGATTAATAGAACTTAAGTATATGGTTTGCATTTGTCAGCAGTTAAGATCAAGTTTGGATACTCCGAACATTTCTTTAATTTAGAGAAGAAGTAGCTATAAAGACATGATCTAAATCAGCAGGACTATATCTATCAACCTGCGAGGTTAGAGTAAGAACTTTTTTGATAAATTTCTTAAAGATTACAAGAATGCTGATATCAGATACCATTGTTGGTAACAGTGTTTGTGTACAAGTTTCAAAATAGTTAGCATACAAGTATCAGGTGCTAAGCTGACTTTTTGGTAGCACACTAACTGGTGCCGAGAAACTAGACCTGATAATTAAGTTCGCAATTCTCAAATGAGTTCCAGTAGCTGATACAATTCAGAATTCAAATGTTAAAAATTAATTTATGAACAATTAGCCTCGTGTTTGTTTTGTTGTCGGGACATTCTCGACCTAAAGATCGCAATCTCATCAAAAGCAAATGAATTGATCTACTCGAGAATTAAACGATAAGATTCTGTCTCAGCAATATTTTAATTAACATAGTGTATAGTATCAACACTTGTGACACACCAATGTTATTGAGTAAGGTAAAAATAATAGTTTAAATCTGATACCTATAATTTTGTACTTTAATCAAATTCAATACCAAAATTAGAGTAATTTTCTTTCAGAAATAGTCCAGTTTGCACTCAAATAAATAGTTGGTTCAATAGGTATGATGTTTTAGTTTTGATTTTCATTTATAGCTTAAATCAACTGATACACTACAACTTGATATACATTAAGTACCTTGATCTATATGCATCATTATGTCTTACAAGTTCCGCCAGAAGTCTTCAAAAGGTTGCTTCCTATGAGAGTTGAATCAGTACAGACAAATATAGTAAACTTGAGAGGCAACTGATTTTATTGAACACTTTAATGAGTGCATATGATGTTCTTCCAAGTAATTGGATTTAGATACAATACACATAAGTTGAGAAAATATTAGTTCCTGAACCTCTTTTTGCCAGAAAAAGATAGTATAATAGCTATATTTGTCATAAAAGCAGGTGGCGCAATGAAATCATTAAGCATTTGATTTACGTAGTTGAAAACTACATTTTATATTATTAATCCTAATGTAATGATCAAAAAAAAGCATAATAATGCATTTTCAACGTTATAACTAACAATTAATTGTCTCACTTTCATTGTACTAAGAGTACCAGTTCAAATAACTAAGGTTTGAAATACATAAGATATTAAAGGTTCACTTTAATAATCTATGAACCAAACTTAACCGCTTACTATCACAGGAGTTGCAAAGCTTTCTTTGCCTCTTAAAATTCTTGAACTTATATTGCTGTTTATGGTAATTTTTAAAATACTTGTAAATAAACAGAGACTTTTTGTTATTACAGTAGGTATGACTATTTAATATGTAAATAGTTAAGATCCAAATGTGGGCTCCTCTGAATGTCATAAAGACAGAGATACATTTTGAATTTTGCATTGTATATTTTTTTTTCATCCTAGCATGTTTTCATTCCTAGCTTTGCTTTTAGAGATTCTGCTATAGCTGTAATTTAGAATCAAGCAGTATTTGTCAATTGGTGATACTCATCTCTTGTGTTTAAAATTAGCCTCAAATGTACATCACCATAAGTTGATTGCGCATATTATTATTAGATGTATTAGATTTTAGGCAAAATGCATCTAATATCATTATTACTACAAAAACTATTAAGCTATCTTCAACAATTAATTAGGTTGTTTTCGATTCTATGTTATTAGTCTCTTACATGAGTGTATAAAATTATTAACTTTTTCCTAATATTGTTTTGTGGCTGCATCTAAGGGATAGTATGAGTAATGATTCATCCATCTGTAATAATGATGCTTCTCCTATTATAAGTTATTACTTTAGAAACAGTTTTTTCGATATTCTATAGTTGTTCCAATTCTTATACCATTTTATCTGATGAATTAAGTAATTGATGGTAATTTTCTAGCTCCCTTGTAACACCGAAATAAAGAAGTAGTACATGATAAAATGTATAATCTACCAAATATCTCTTCCTTCCTCTGATTATATCATATGGGAATCCAATTTCATGCTTTTTTCATATATAATTTTTTGTGTAGATTTGCTATATGAATTCAAAAAAATTCTCAAATATAAACTTGAATATCAGTGGATTAAGTCTGAAAATGTGGAGATTTATACTGATAACATTTGCCTGAAGGCAAGTTGATTTGTTTCAATTAAATATTGCTAATGAGATTGGATTCCATATTTCGACAGCATAATTTCCCCTTTAAACCTTCACACGATTCCAAGTAGCAAAATTATTTAAATTTTCTATTGAAACTAAAGTATTTAATTATTGAGCGCTTAAACTATAGTTAATAAAATATACCGATTTATGGACTATATAATATTTAAGAATGCTAAAATTTTATTTGACAAAATACTCCCAAATTTAATTTTCTCTTCTGCTGTGCAGAATCAATCGAGTAAATCTCTAGATTATGTCTATCTCTCTTTTAAGGAGAGACACTAACAGCAGCATTAAAGTATTTATTTTTTCTGCGTACTTTAAAACATTTTATCATGATCACAGTAATTTGCCTATGATCTATGCAACTAGTAGTTTAAGCGAGTTATCATCTTAATTTGAAGTGTATTCTACTTCTCCATCTTCTCAGGTTAAACTAATAGAACTTTATTTATTTATTTAACCACGTGAACTGCAAAATCAGTTTTTACCTACTATTCTTGCAATGTCTTTTATGGTTTCGTTACTTTGAGTGCATTGGAGGAACTCAGAATTGCTTTTGAAATCTTCTCTTTACAACTATAAGTGTTTGTACTTCAATTTGGCTATTTTTTCATCCAATTATAAAAGAAAATATGCATAGAAAAGTTCAAAATAAAAATAGTAGGGAGTATCAATAATCTATTAGCACTAATGATTTTAATAATAAAGTGGTATTCTAGTTCTACTAATATAAGAAGGTGATATAAGGCAGAAGCTTATTTAATAAACTACATTCAAAAATCCAATGCTTTATCATCATCGACATCATATCTATAACTTAGTTATCATTTAATACACAAGTATAGAGAATTTAGAAGAAAGAATGTAAATTTGATACAATTAGCATGTACTAAATAATTAAAGATCGTTATTTCTTAATTCCTAGTTTGATGATTTGTTAAGAATAAATATTTGGCTATGATAGAAATAAAAAACATAAAGATCTAAAACAATTAAGTATTGCATCAAATCATTTGAATTAAATTATTAAATTATATTATAATTTTTGTTCTAATCTGAAAATGGTTTAATATAATTTAGAAAAATTAAAATTCGCAATTATTTGTTAGAAAATTTAATATTGCAAATAAACTCAAGAATCCTGGAAAAGTGAAAACTTAAGAGGCTATCTCTCAAGAATGAAAATGACTACATTAATAACTGAGAAATATTAGTCATGGTTTGATCATCGTTGTAAAATAGATAAGGAAAACTCTAAGGAATATAAAAGAAATAAAGGTAGGATAGGAATCAATACACTATCAAAAAAAAAGGGATAGGATGAGACATAAAAGGATATTTAAAATGTAAAACCTAAATTATAGTCTTAAAATAATTCTCTAGCACTCAAGTAATAAATTTGACCTCATGTAGTTAAGTGAAACAATATAAGTGTAAAAAATGCTTCTAAGAAAACTGACACCCAGATCCAAAAGAAGAGATCTTCTGATTATCTTTTTGGAAAACCTTTCGCAAGAAGAGTAGTTTGCAATCAAACCCATCTTCTATGTTTGATTACTTAAGTAGAAAAAACAGGGCAAAAACGAGCTCTAAATTGAATAAAGATGTATTTTGAGAGGATAAAGGGAAGGCTTTAGGAAAAATAATAGTAGAAAGGGCAATGTGCACTTAATAGCCACCTAAGGAGAAAAATAGAGTGGATATTATTAGCCATTAATTTAATTATTATTATTTATTTATCGCTCAATCAAGAAAAATTATTATTGTATTTTCCATAATTTTAGAATTGACTCATCTTCAATATCGATTATTCAATATTAAAAATACATTTGAGATTTTTGGAATGAATGTAACCCAGATTTATGCAAGCTGCAGGTAAGGTTCCTGAATTTCTGAGATTAATTAATGGCTGTCATAAATAGAAATCTTTATATCAAAATTACTGATTTCACTTTTCTTATATTATATCTAAAAGTTTTTTTATGCATTTCTTGTCTGATGGGGGACATCCATATTTGTGTTATATTGTTTTATACTTATTTTTATAACTCAATAGCCAATCAAAGATATAACGCAACGATCAAGCAACCTAAGACACTTTGTTTTAGGTAATGGTATTAATATTCCGTTAAACGTTGACAATTTGGAGAACAAAATGATTTAAAAGGAAGAAAATTTTTCAATTCAAGATTCTGGTAGCGAATTAACCAATCAAGGGGGCTTAGCAGGCTTGATATAGTATAAGGAGAACTATTTAGATGGTAAAGCAGAATAGACATAGAAAAAAAAGAAGGCAAATAAAATAACAGGGGTTTTTGTGTAAGATAACATGTAATATGATATAATGGAAGAGATGGCATTTAAACATTTATAACCCAAATTGAATAAACGCATAAATTGGTATGGATGACTTTGTTGAGATCAAACCTTGAAAAGCTTACCTAGATAATTCAAAAGTAGGTATACAGTTGATCGTTTAACTAAGAGGCACGAGAAGATTGATATTTCTATCTAAACCCCCCACTTGTAGTTATTTATTTCAGTTGTCAAACTATTTGTACTGCCTAATTTAAAATTGGTTTTTCTTGTGAGAAATGATTCGATTTACCTCTCTTAATGTAGTGTTTACATTTTAGAAAGACTAAAACGTTGTTGAGGTTATTAATAGCACGCCTAAATTATGTATGAAAGGCTAGCTGAGAATTGGATGGAAGATTTCTTTTTGTTGTAAGGAGATTAAATTTACAGAATCTGTGAAATTTGTTACAAGGTAAGTATGAGGCGTTCCTTATGATAAAGAATTGTCATTTTGATGCTTCTTTTTAGTGAACATCGAATTAATTGAATGATAAGATATGCTTCACATTACAAAAAAATTTACACTTTTGACTGAAACTTGTACTTTGAGTTGTTGTTACCATAATCTAAGATATAAGCAAATTTAGATAATTTAAAGAAAGATGATTCAGATTTGAAATAAATTATTCTTTAACAATCATCTAAAATGGTAATTGTTAGAAAATACATTGATATTGGGCAACTTATCTTAAAATAGTGGAGCAATTAAGAGATAATGTTGATTATTTAAATAATTAATATTTTTAATTAAATAACAAATGATTAAATCAAAATGATAGAAAAAGTGGAAGAACTTGTCTGTTCAATGATTCATAAACTTCAAATATATATGTTTGTTTGTGATTAAAACAGAGGGATGAACTAAAGACTTTTATGCACTGAATGCATGGATAATATAGATTCTAATCTAAATAATGTAATGAGTTTTAAAAAGGTTACTTAAATAATCGAAGAAAATTAAGATATGAAGCTAAATCAGTGGAATAACTTATTATGATGAATATTAGCTAGATCAATGAACCTCAGAAATCATTAAATTTATTAAAATCATAGATTATTTAATAAATAGATTATCTAATTGGTAATACAAGTTAATGGATCAAATCTATATAAGAAATTGGATAAAAAAATGCCAATTACAGTTTTTTTGAACAATTGGATAATTTCATTAATCAAATTTAAGTTTTAGACGTTGATTATAGAAATTTAGTTAATGAAATAAACTCAAGTAATCACTCTTGGAATCAAAAAATAATTAAAAAGTTGAAAGACTTTCAATCATTTGAATTGACAAAAAGGTGCGAAGAATTATTAAAAAATTTAGACGCAGAACCCTTCACTTATGATTTAATCTAAAATCATTCAATTCAATAAAATGAATCTTGTTGGGTAATTGCCATAATTAAAGATAATTCAATTGTATTAGCTGGATGTGAAAGTAAGATCAAAGTATTTGAATTTAAACAAGAATAGCTGAAATTAATTCAACTTCTAATTGAACATGTAGATTATGTTACAACTTTAAATTTTATGAAGAAATCCGCTTAATTTAAATCTGGAAGTCATGATAAATAGATAATTATATGGTGTTGGGACTAACAGAGTTAATGGGTCTGCTAATATATATTGAATGAACATTAAGCTTAGATTAATTGTTTATTATTGAGTAAGAATGAAGATCTTATCATATCAGGGAGTAGTGATGAGTCAATTAAATTTTGGACAAAAAAGAATGAATGGACATATTCATAAACTATTACGGATTCTACAAATGATGTTGTAAGTTTAAGTTTGAATGAAAAATAAAATAGAGTGATATCTTGTGTATATGAAACGCTTTTTATATTAATAATTGAGTAGTAATAATAGGATTAAAAATGGAATGTAATTTAAAGATTACAGTTGATGGGTATGGTTATCGAATATGTTTCATTAGTGATAATTTATTTACATTTCAACCTAGACTTATAGAGTAAATGTATATATATGAGATGAATAGTAAGAATAAGTAGTGTTCAAAGACAGAGCAGATTGTTATGAAAGCAGATTCTAATAGATGTGATTATTACTTTCCATCATAATATATCAAGTCGAAATTTCTCCTTGTGAATAAAAATGGATAAAATGTTAATTTGATATGAAAGAACCAAAATGGTGATTTTATAACATAATAATCTATTTAATTTGGAAGTGCATATATATATGGATAGGTAAGTGAAAATGGAGAGTATTTGATGACTTGGAATTATTAACTAAGCAAATATAAATTAGAAAATATAAGTAATTATGAACAAGAATGAATGAATGAACCAGTATCATAAATTCTTAAAAATATTATTTATTTAATTTATTTTAAAAGATTAAGTACTACAAAAGTAGCCAAGCAAAAAATCTTATCCTCGAGAAAGACATAAGGTTTAGTAATGTATACTAAGTGAACTTTGATCAAAGATTTTCAATTTTATAAAAGTGGGATTCAGCTTTGTTGGATTGTTAATTTTATGATAGATATATGATTATTCTTAATATTCTTCAACTCCATAGATAAAATCATCCAAAATTTTACTGCATTAAATTATGATAGATCAATCTATTATTTTTGATTAATAATAAAACTGAATAGGTGATAATATAAAGAACCTCCATAAAAACTTATAAATCTATTAACTTTATAAAAAAAGTAACTCGTCCAAATTAGTCTTAAAAATAGCTTTATGAGTCTAAAGATGATTAGGATCAAGCCAAAACTACTTTAGTATATGAAATTAGCTGAAAACTTAATTTAATTAATATCCTTTTAAAAGATATCATAGATAAAGAACAGGAATGGTTTCAAAACCTTTTATTTACGCACTGTCCAATTCCAATTATGCCATGCTAATATATTTATTTTGAACACTAGAAGTAATTTATAATTTACATAATCTATATTTAAATTAGATTTCTATCTTATGCTTTAACTGATATTATCATATGCTAAGATTAGAGTCAGTGGTATACTTACAAAGCTAACTACCAAAAACCAAAACAGTTACTAAAATTTTATTTGCCAATTAAAAGAAAACTCAGATTGAGGCTACGAATTCCAAATTGAAAAAATGAAATTAATGACTTGGCTAAAATAGAGACGAATATGCTGTTCAATGTCTTAGCAAATGTAGGATAATCCACATTGAAAACTTTGTTTATAGCAATTAAAATTACAATAACAGTTTATATATTAACTCTTTCCCTTTTTTTGATGAAAGCTTAAATTATAGAGACAGTCGATTTTTAAGGCACAAAATCCAGAATTTATCTGAAAGGCTACTCGGTACATTTAATGTGAGCTCTATATAAAATTTATCAGAAATCAGAGAACAGGGTAGGATTGTTGAGTGATAATTCTTCACTTTTTTCAACCATAAGTAGAGAAAACTAACCTAAATTTGACAATGGATACGCAATTTAGTATGCAATACTATTAAATAGACTAGCTAGGCTGGTTGGTCTGATTATGAATGAACCATAACAATCCATCCTCATTTGACTATATTAAAAAAATAATTGAAATAGCAAATCTTTTCTAAATTATTCAACCCTAAATGTGAAGGACAGTATTTTAACTTGCAGAATTTATTATGGTTGTCATAGGGATTCAGCTAATAATAAATAGTAAAGAGTTGACAGAAGACACCTTCAAATTAAATACTTTTATGTGCTATCATAAAGTTTATTACTTTCTTTTTAATTTAGTATGCTATTTCAATAAGGGTATTTAGATATTATCAGGCATTTTTGAAAACTTAGATTCTTAAACATAAACTGAAACTGGATTTGAAATATCTTACAAATGTTAAAAAACCCTATATTAACAATAATATTTTTGAGCTTTATGGAGCTTCTACCAATATCCTACTTGTTTACTAATTTAAACGTTCTAAATTGCCAAACTTCACTATAAAGTTTTTAATAGAGACTTCAAAAAATAGTTTGATGACTTTCATCATAAAGCTAAAATTTTATCAAAAGTGTAAAACATCTAAAAATTTTTCAAAGATAACAATTGATATGTTTGGAACTAGAATCATTAATGCAAAAATGTATTTATTGATGTTTTAAACAAGAAATATAATCGATTATATAAAAATGACACGAATAATTTGTTTCGAACTTATTCCATAATCAAAAAGAATAAAGCTATGCGTAAGCCTAGATGAGTTCTCAAAATTAAAACTGACATTAATTAAAATCAATTCCAAATCTTTACATAATTTGCTCTTCTTCCTAACTAAAATAAGTAAGACACTTTTTCTATTATTTAAAAAAAATTAATGAATTACTAATAATGATTAAAATGAAGATTTATATTGGTTACTAGCCTAATCTAAATAATTTAATCAATCAGCCCTCCCTGCCCTTATATAACAATTGAAAAGAGAGAAGATTTAAGACTGACTAGAATTTCTATTATAAGATTAAAATCAATAGTTGGATGAATAAGTCATCTTGCAAGTAGAAATTTTATTACAGGACTAAAGGTTGGGTAAAATAAAAGTAAGAAATAATAAATGTTCTCAAGAAAATTTTAGATCATGATTTTAATAAACCGAATTATTCAGATGAATATGAAGAAAGTATATAAAGTCTGATCACAAAAATATCTTATGATAAAAGGATAATAGGATTTTTTATTTTAGTTCATCTGTCTTAGATTAGAGATACATATAGTGTGGATCAATTCTCTTCATCTATTAGTTGCAATGAAAGTTAATTTGAAAGCACAATCATTGAAAATATTAAAATTAAAAACACTTCATTAATAGGGGTTAATTTTGTCAGATGTGATGTAAGTGGATCTGAATTTACAATGTCAATATTAGTGGAATAAATTCGAGTGAAGCCAAATTATTTAATTGTAAATGGAGGAATTTAGGTATAAACGAAAGAATTAAGTTTAATGGCTATTCTAATAAATTCAATTAAGTATGTTTTTCTCCAGACAGTAATTCGTTAGCTTCTTACAATCACAATAAACCCATTCTTTTGTGGAATGTGAATACAGGAAAATTTCATCTTTATTTTTAGGACGGAGCTATATAAAATAAGTGTGCTTCTCTGCTTATAGTATTACATTAGCTTCTTGCAGCCGCGAAGTTGTGGATTTTATGGAACCTTCAAACAGGAAAACAAATGTAAAATCAATAGGACATTTTTTATGATGCATTATACTTTGATTATCTCCTGACGGCATCAAATTAGCATCAAGAAGTGAAGATAATTGTATCAGTTTATGGAATGCTAATACAGAAAATAAAATGCCAACTTAAATGATCATACATGTGAAATATTATCAGTCTGCTGATTATACTAAATTAGCATCTAGTAGTGAAGATAACTCGATTCGTTTAAGGGAAGTTAAAAGAGGATAATAAAAACGAAATTAGATGGTCATACAGATTTAGTTTATTCTAGTTTTTTTCTCCTGATGACATTCATTTGCATCTGGTAGTTCATCATCCGCTTTTGGGATGCTAATAAAAGATAATAAAGAGCCTAATTCAATTGCTAAACTGATTGTCTTCGATCAATTTATTTCTCTCCTAATAGTACTACATTAGCTGATAGTAGAGATAACCCAATCCGTTTATGGGATGTTAAGATAGGATGATTAGAACAAAATTGATTATTTCTTAAGGTAAAAATAAATATACATTATCAATTTTGTCTACTAACAATGTCATTTTTTTAACAAAAAAACTTACTTATGTTTGGGGCTAAGTTAAAAGGTTGTACCTTTATAGAGGAACATGAGTTGATAATTTTGACAAAATAAATATCAAAATAAAAAATATAGAAGACTTTTTATCTTTAGACTCCTAAATGCTAAGATATTTACATAGTGATATTTGCCTCGCTACTCTCAGCATTCAAGACTGCAATGCTTATGTTACATATCCCTTCTCCCAAACACTAAACTCAGCAGATGTCCATACGTTGTGCATCGCTAAGATATCCGAAGTGATAAACAATAAACTTTTAAAAAATGGACCAAATATCTAAGATAAGATTAAATTTTTATAAAATGTCTTTTAATTGCACGAAATTATCTTTTTAGAAATTCCTAAGATATATTTTACATCTATCTAGATATGAATTATATAACTGTGTTTAACTATTTTTCCAAATGCCCAATTCCAATTAACTGCTGAATTTAAAGTAAAGATTATTCTCTAAAAATAGACAACGATTAAAGTATAAATGATTTTATATTATATTACGCAGATAAACGAATAATAGAGATTATTATTACATTAAGAATGTCTCGTAATTTTGCACTCATAAGTGTCTTAATAATTCTTAATTTTCGCTTATCATGACATTTGAATCATTATTTCCACAAATAGTTCCTAATTTTTATGATTTTAAATTATTAGTATTTTGTTTCCAGTTAAAAGGCCTAGAATATCAACATATATGCTTCTTTGATCCACTCTATTTCATGATGTCTCCAACCACTTTAATTGCATGTGATAAACAATTCTTTTTTATTTCAAAAAACAACAAATATTAAACTATTCTTCATCCCCTGAATTCTGATAAATTTTCTGGCAAAATTCAAAACAATAATAGAACAACATGCCTTAATACAAAATATCTCTCTATTTTTAAAAGTTCAGACATAATCAAATCTATTTTGTACATTATTCTAGTCCATCCTGAGAAATAGAAATTATTTGGAGTCAAACTCTAAAAGTTTACATTCTGTTATAAACATTGACAAATATAGATGGACTGCTAAATATTATAGCAGTTTATTAGAACAATCCAAATTGAAAATTATTAAGCCAGAGATTCTTTTCCAACTCTCTTTGTCTATCATCTAATTCTCTCTTGAATAATTGAATAAAACTATCATCATACTATTTACCTCTAGAATTGGCAATTAAAAACCATTTCAAGCTCAAACATAACTGTTTTTTCATCCAGCACCAGCTATAACCGAGTTTTATCAATTTTTTTCTATTACTCTTTTATCTATTATTTAAAAATTCAAATTGCGGAGAAGTAGGAGAGCATCAAAGAGAGTGCAATGACATCTAGAGGGATCAACTAATGATAAAGGGAAAGAAGGTGAGATTTAAAGACAAAAGAGTCCCTATGAACCCTGACGAGCATATATGCTCGGAGGAGGATGTTGAATTGAATTATTATATTTACTACTTCATAATTTTATAATTTGATTACTTTTCCTACGTTCTACAATACAGCATCCGATATATCAAAATATTTTAGTTAAGGTTATTTTATTTGGAACCAAACACACTATAATTTTCAGGGCGTTAAAGATTTTAATCATTTCTATATTGATCCAAATAAACATCCAGACTAATTAATATCAATTTATAAATCAAAGAAAAGTGAGAGTAAAAATGGAATTGAAAAACCTAAAGTAAATTCAAGGGGACCATTTTACTTTAATTTATTAATTATATTAGAATAACTCACATAATCTACAAGTGAAATATTGTTAGAGCAATCCCTAAGGTGGTTTTGAGTACTGCCCTCATGAATTTGAGTCCTTGAATCCATAGGTCCATAAGACTGGTCTGGTCTGGTCTATTCTTATAAAACCCCGTAATATTTTCATTTTTCATAAAGATGGTCCTTGCACTGATATGTTGTGAGCTGTTCCAGCTCCTTTTTTCATAGAACCCCAACTTCTGAAGGTCTCTGTAACCACAAGAAACCAAATAAGCCCCTGAAATATGATATTCTCTGGCTACCTCACCCAAGACCTGGATTTATGGAAATTGTATATTTTTCTTTTTTAATACAACAAATATTTACTTTATTATCAAATTCACAAATATACAAAACTCTATTGAGCAATTTCCAGATAAAAATTGATGATTCTTGAAAGTCATCATACAAAAATATATCAATCATTCTTACTGACAATATTATGAACTCTTTACATAAATTTATAATTTTGGCCAATTATTTTTCATGATCTTCTTGCTAACCACCATGAGAACCATTAGAAAGATGAAAGGAATTGATATAATAGGGTTGGTCCATATATATAGAATTAAAATAATATCAATTAACAAAGATAACCAACATAAGATTTAAGATTGAGGCGAAGGAATTTATAAGCACTTGAATAACAACACTATGGAGAATACAATGGATTCTTTCGGTTTTTTAATATCAAGAAAAGAGTTGTATTCAATAATATCAAGAAGAGATTATTATTTCAGATTCTGATTTCTTGAAAACCAATTTCAAGAGTATATAAAGGGAAAGTGGGAACTATTATAAAGATAAATTAGATATAATTTTTTAAAATTGAGTGAATGGTTTACAAATTCAAAATTATTTAACTCAAGATGGATTCTGAAAATAGATTAACATAAATTTAAATATTTCAAGTAAATTATTGTGTTTTCTCATTTTTATTTAACAATTTATTGGGAATAATCAAATCTTATCACATATTATAGAATAACCGAAAGAACAAAAATACATGATCATATTTAGAGGGCATTTGTTAAACTTTGGATATACATAATTTAATAAATTAACGATATTTATAAAAATCAATCAGCAAGCAAAGTCTTTCACATATTAATAAATTTAAAGGAGAGAAGATTTTGTAAAAAATCATCAACTATCAATGTCAATTTAAATTCATCTTATTTTATTATAATTACCAATATTTCATCACCGAGCTTTATTTTATTTAGTACAAATGTAACTCTGATTGTATGATAAAAAGTGTTGTGACATTCATTTAAGAATATTAATGATTCTTTATCAAAGCCTGATTCAAAATCATTGAATTAAATTTCTAATTTCTAATTTTAAGAGCATTGTAAATCAACTGTAAAACGGACAAAATTCGTTGAACTTAAAACACCTTTTGCGTAATAGCCAATTAAATTATATTCTGATTAATCCAGATCTGGGGTTTATGCTTGGATTTAATTAGCTGAAACCAAAGTTGAAGAGAAAAACTACAGAATTTTTAAATCTGAACATTCAAAATTAGTAAGAAAAGCTAATTGATCATTTTCAATCTTTAAAAAACATCTGTGCTCATATAGAAAAAATTCTTCTTCACACCAATAGCAAATACCTTAATAACAAATTGAACAAGAGATGGGGCAATTATAATTACATTAATGACATCCATCTTCAAAATTAAGATTTTTATCATCGCATTTTTCAGGCTCGACTTGTATTTAATCTCCACAAATGGAATAGCACCTATTATCAATGTTTTCATAATTAGGTTTACATAGCAAGCATCCATGCCTTTCGATACTGCATTCTAAACAATCAGAATTACACCTAGGATCATGAAAGTTCTCATCAATTTTAATGCATTATTGTTTAAAATATGAGAAGCCTTCCAGGCAATCATTACAAACTCCATTATTACAAGCAGAACAACCTATAGTGCAAGCTTTTAAACATTGATGGCACCCGTCTTCAAATATTAAATTGCCATCATCACATTATTCGTCAGCCGTAACATAACCATCTCCACAAATAGTCTCACACATATTATCGATATTTAGATAACCTTCTTTGCATTTTAAGCAACCTTTACCTTCAGTAGAACATTAAAAACATGACTCTTAACATTTTGCTTAACAATTTAAGCATCCTCTGTTAGGCACTTCTGTGTCACATTGCTCGTTTTATGCTTTTTTATTGTCTCCACAGATAGAATAACAATAATGATGCTCATTCAAATAGTATCCGTATCCGCAAGCATAACATATAGTATTTCTGCAATCTGTACAAATATTTTCTTCCTAACATTCTCTCTTGCATAAGTAACTACAAAGATCGTTGTTGATAATATTACCATCGTCACAAGTTTCAGTATAAAAGTTATCCTAATCCTTAGCTAATGTTTTGTCTCCACAAATATTCTTGCAGAAGTGAGAATATGGTCTAAACCCGTCATTGCAGTCTAGACATCTTCCAGTAGTGTAATCACAACTAATACAATTACTTCTGCAATTATATCTACAGATTTAACACTAATCATCAATATTCGAATTTAAATCAATGCAGTTATCGCTTTCAATTACCTACCCAATTCCACACTGCAATAAACAATTCTCGGAAGACATTGCAAAGCTATTTTTATGTGTTTTAGTGACACATTAAGTACATTTACCTTTGACACAATTCGTACATTTCATAGAACATTAAAATTTGCAATTATGGCACCCGTCATATTAAATTTAGTTCGCATCATCACATTCTTCGGTACCATTAACAATACCATCTCCACAATAACCAGAACATGGTAATTAAGTATTTTAATTACAAGTAGAACAATTGCTAGGGCATTAAAATTAGCAATTAAAGCATAAATCGTCTATTTCGTTATTCCCATCCTCACATTATTCATATCCTACTACTATGCCGTCTCCACAAATTGGCATACATTCACCAAAAATAAACTAAAACCCAGGGAAACATTTTGGACAAACTTATGTATGCCACATTGTAAAACCTTCTTAACAATATTTATAACATTGTACTTTCGATGGATCTTCTACTTGAGGACATACTATAATTTTAATTCATCATTTACTTTAACAAATATTATTCTCTTCGTAGTATCCTGGAATACAAACGCATTTTAATCCTTTTAAGATTTTGTTTTTGGTTATATCACAAGTTAAGCAACCACTCAAGGTTAATCTAAAGCAAGTTTCACATGAAGAATGGCAAGCCTTACATGAATTTGAAGAGCCATCATAACTTGTACCTGATGGGCACTAGCAGATTGATTAACTATGACATTTTTTACAGACTGGATTTGAACTTATAGAATAATACCCATCTAAACATTCGCACTTATTGTTTTTTAATACTCTATTATTTGCAGTCAAACACTCTACACAAACTTGGTCATTTATACATTAATTGCATTCTATCGGGCATTCATAACATTAACTATTTGCATAATATTAATTCATTAAACAATTACAACCTGTTTTAGTAAGAGTAAACGTTAATCCACATGATTAACAATGTATTTCAGATGTACAAGTTTCACATCCATCAGGACAAGGTAAACATTTTTGCTCTTGTTTATTATAATACGTTTTTGGTTAACAACCTATTTCTGAATGAAATTTAGCATCAACAGAATTATCCCATTTAGTGCAAACCTTTTCGTTTAAACATTCTAGACAATAAGGTTAACAATAATGAACGACTACATTATATCCATACAATCCACAATATGCATCATATATATTATTGTTACTGCCTTTGCATTCCCAATATAAAGTTAATGTATTAGAAGAATGTGTATGGAAAAATTTGACTCTTTCAGACAAAGTTCCGTCTGCAAAAGATAAATTTGCATTCTATGCAGATTTAATTATGGGCTGATCGTTTTCTTGGGTATATATGAATTAACCATCCTCAGGGAAATTTGGTCCATATAAAATATAAAATGCAACCGTAACACCATAATGTGGATTTGTAATTTAATGAATTATTTGGAATTTTGCTTGACTCCAAACATACTAACCCCCAAAAATGAATTTGTCGTGCCAAAGAGAATAGCAAATATCTGATCCTTTTAAAAAGTTGAGACCTTCTGCTGAAACAAGTAGATATTGTGTAGGTTAGGACGGATCATTTGCTAGTTCAAACTTTTCATTTTATATTAAATATTGAGAATCTAAGATATCAATAATTAAATACACGGAGTTTCTTATTCATAGTCAACGCAAGAATCTTCATTTATTATTTAATAAGATTCTTCACATTTTACACAATTACCATCGCTTGATACATAAAGACCATCATTACAAATTTTACAGACATAAGCTAATTCGCAATATTTGCAATTATCCTGACACTTTCCAGACGAGACCTCTAACTCTCTTATGCTCCAACCTGAGCCAGAAGTTCTATATGAGATGCAATATTTACAAATAATATCCCATTGCTTTAAAAGAAAAGGAATAATTAGGTATATCAAGAAACAAAAATACCGTAATAGTTTTGCAGATAGACCATAAATTGACACAAGCAAAGTCCTCAATTTTATATAACTAAACTCTGTGCAGCTACATTCCTTCGCTCGTTTAATAAATAGATCCATAGTAAGTATTATTAACATGAAACTCTATTCTAGCACCAATAGGAATAGGCTCGTATAATGTTAGAACTAATTTTAATCCTAAAAAAAAAGATCCTTAAGTAAATGAGGATATGTCAATAAACCTAATAGTGCCAGAATTCTTAGTGAATATTCCATGGTCTTATGAAGTAGATGCTAATATATAATCTGATTAACTTGTAATGGTAGGAAGAATCACTTTATATCTCATTTCATTTGGATATAAGGTTTCCTAATAGAGAGTGCTTGCTAGAATTAAATTATACAATTACATTTAAATTTTACACAAATTTTTTCATAAGTTTGGCGATAATAAAAATCGCAGATCGCTGTGCAACCAATATCTGGCATCAAAGACTAATTAGATGGGCACAAAAGGGCATCTATTATTATTCGGTGTTCCGCTTTAACAACTTGCACATTAATTATATTATTAGCCTGTACAGGAATTGCATAAAGGATAGCATAAGAGCCTAGATATGAACACATTTCTAATCGAAACTTATCCACCATCATTGGAATTTTATATTTCGAATTCCAGGTTAATAGATTATGTAGTTGAGATTTTAAAATTTACAGTCCTAGCATCGGCTTATTTATTGTCACAAAATCCACTAGATATTGGATATTAATTAGGTGTGGAATAATTAATTGAAATAACTTGACCCCCAATTATTATTTTTAAAATGTCATTATTCCAAATACCGGAAAAAAATAAATCAAGTGTGATATAATCCCCAGAATTGAGGTCTAACTTCTTTTCACTTATCAGCCTTGGGTTTTATGATGTAAGAGTTATCAAACTTCTTGATGGAGAGTCACAATCTATGAAATAGGCACTTTTAGGTTGTTGAGGAATGTTGAAACCTCCTACATCGGTTTGATTCTGAAATTTGACATCCTAGTAATAATATTTTGCGATATCAATCCATTAACAAACGTACGTTTAGAAAAGCATCATCAATGATAGTATCAAAACCATTCTTGATATAATTATTATTGATTGATAAAAATTATTTCATAATTATTTGGATATAAAACGTGGATACTTAATATCTATACATAGATAAATGAAAATAATTAAGTGGATAGGATGCCGAAAATTACTAAGACATTATTATCTACTCGAATTGATATAATAATAAAAAACTGAAGTTAAAAATGTTTTTTATATATTTCTATCTAACAATACCATAAGCTGAAAAAAATCTAGCTATAGATTCATATATATATAAGCGTATTAATTTTAATTCATTAAGTAATCGTCTCAACACAAGATTCTATAAATTATACTTTGAAATTTTATAAAATACAATTGATGTATCATATTATTTTTAATTATAACAGATGATTCAACTAAGGTAAAAGTGGAATTTGAACATGAAGACCTCCAGAAATATTTTGATAGATCAAAGGAAAGATAAAATACAATTATGTTTCAATAATAATAAATGTATTTTCAATTATATTTGGATAATAAAGATAATTTAAAAGCATGAATAAAGAACTATAAATTTCAAATGACCCGCTATAAACTTGACACAATTTAATGGCTGGATATAATCTACCGTCCTTTATTCAGGGTGGAAACCTAAATTATTTCAATTTTATTGATGACATTTATAACATGTCTCTAATTTATTATATTTCAGTAATATAATTTATTTAATGCTTTACTCAAGTTTAAATAGTTTCTTTAAAATTACCATTTTGTAAATTCGAGCCCATCTCAAGTGTTTAAAAATCTATTACCAAACCCTTGTAAATTTACTTTTCTCTTCTTATGTTTCTAAGTTAATTTCTAATCATATCTAAATTAATAGATTTTATGTTAAAGTTTATTTAATTTATTTTATTTAATTACAACCTAATTAATATTCCATTCTTAGACATATCTACAAGTTCTTTATTCCAATTTGTATTAATCAAACAGAGTACAAGATATTATAAGTAGTTTTTAATTTTCAGATATAATATAGAAACATTTAAATAGGCTTTTTGGCGTTCTTGAAATTAAAAATAGATAACCAGTGTTCCATGAAAATAAATATCAAATTTTAATTAAAGGCAAACGAATTGCCAGTTTAATTTATAATAGTTTCCTAAACTTAAGAATACAATAAATATTTTAAGTAATAATAATATAATTTATAATATATTATTCAAAGTATTTTAGAATATAAATATTTTAAGAATGGGATAAGTTTCATAAAAATTATTTACTACAACAGAAGCAGATGAATAGATAGTTATATCAACGAACTCAAGAATTGGATATATTTAGAAAAAGTTTTTATTTTCACAAGCAGATGTTTCCAATTTACATAAAATATTTCGGAAGATGGACACTATGGGAACAGGTTATATCAGCTAATAAAACTTCTTTGAATTCTTAGATGAAGAATTTAATAGCGTAGTCAGCCCTTATATTGAATACTTGTTTTAATTGATAGAAAAGGAAGTTGAATAAAAGGTAAGTTTTTCTGAATGGTTACCAGCTATAAGTCTATATTGTTTATACACAAAAGATAGCGTGGTTGCATATGTGTTTTAAATGTTGGATAGCGATCACGATAACTTTATTTCAAAAAAGGATTTAATGAATTTTTTAGTTTAGAAGAGGAACGGGAAAAAGATTTTCTATTATAACTATATGAAAGCAGTAGAACTGTTGGATATTGAGAGACCAGACAAGATCAGTTTAGAATAATTTAGAAAAATACAACAGCAAATTCCGTTTATTTGTTATCCTGCTTTTCGATTGCAAAGGGAATTGAGGAGTAGGATATTTGGTGTTAAATATTGGGATAGTCTTTATGATAGAATTCTGCATAAAGAGAATGAGGAGAACAAGTAGAAATAGATGTAGAAAATTCAAGATGAAATGAAGAGGAAACAATAGAATAAATTGGATAAGAAGGTTGAAAAGTTTTTACAAAATACTCACAAATCTAGGGTTTCTATGCCTTCTATGAAATTAATTCATTAGAGAGTGAATGGCAGGAGAAATTCAGATACAAACATGCCTCAGAATCAAGAAACAGCTGATGAACTAATAAACAACATGTTTCAGCAAATCAGTAAACAACTAAAGGGACAACACAACTAAAGAAAACAGAAGGAACTTAAAGTGCTAAGATGTAGATCAAAATCTTTGCAGTATATAAAGATGAACTTTAAGCATACAGAGGAGCAAGTGGTACGATCGTCTAAATATATTAAAACACAATAATCATCTTAGCAGATTCCTTTGAACTTCAAAAAACAAGAGAGAAGATCGATATTCCATATGAATAAGGTGAAGCCCCCGGTTGATAAACCTCCAGGGTCATCTCACAACAGTTCTGATTCTGAGTCAGTTTCTTAGTCATTGTTATATTGAATGAAGAGGTGTGAATATTTATGTATCTTTATTTATATGATTTGTTTTATGTCATTCTTTTTGATATGAACTTCTGATAAGCTATGTGGCACCATAGCCGACATCTGGTTCTCGTGGTTGTTCTGGGGGAGCACTGCCTCTAAACAAAGTAGTTGCTCCGAAACCGGTTTCTTCAACTCCTTCCTCCTGAATTTAAGCTGGTTAAGGGACATAGCTCTTGGAGGTCTTGCTTCTGGCCAAGGAGGTTTAAGTATTTCTTTGATTAGATTAATAGTTAGGTTGAACAGCCTGTGGATCAACCATGTCTAGAATCTAGGCTTTCCTTGATTATTGAACTGCTGAGGAAGTTCGAATATGAGACTTGGAAACTCCAGACAAACGAGCTTGTTGTTCTTCTTCCATATTTAATGGTCCTTTCATTAATCCAATCATTTCTTTTTGAACTCTCATTGAAGATCTCAAATAGTGGGATTCTAAATAGTTTGCCTTTTCAATCAATAGTTGAGTGCTCAGAATGTCGACTTCTTTTCCGACACTCCAGATTTCAGCGTATGTCAATTTGTATTCTTTCAAAACTGGGTTGATCAATGAACCTGATTGATAGAATTACAGATATACCTTTTTTATAGGTTTCATCTTCTGGAGTAACATAACTTTTTCTTTGCATATCTTGGGCATCTATCCACAATCTGAATTTATTGTTGGCACCTCCAAAGCCAACTCCTGATGGTGCGACTTCATTCAAGCCTTTGTAATCTCCAATGCCTTCTCCGAAATAATGTAGATAGGAGTAATTTTGAGTATTTTAATCACTTTCATTAGGGAATGTCCTTTTGAAACGACTGGCTGCAAACACTTTGTATTTTGGAATCAGTTGGAAGAGGTAGCTTTCCTCGTTGCCTTAATATAAGCCAGAATCAATCCATTTTTTCTTTTGGAAGGCTCCAACAATGGATTCTTCAGAATCATTACTGAATTTCAAGAGGAATACGGTTGGTCCATCGAAGGATAACAGAGCTCTGTAGAGAGACTCGAAATTCCACCCTGAGACGGCATTACTCCATAATAAATTGACTTGGCTTGATGATTTAATATACGCATTTCCAAGTGCCAAATAGATGTATTGGGGACTATTGAGCAAATAAGATGGTTTAGTAAATCTGATTTAATTTGGATTTGATACCTTGCTTAGAGTTTCTATTGCTGTACACTCAAAAAGAGCATGGTGAAGTATTGTTTTACTTATTCTGTTAGGTGAGGGAATAGCTATTTAAAGAAGAGCACGAGACTCCACCATTTCACAGCGCCAGAACTGTTGGGATACACAGCACTCAGTATGGATCGAGCAACTGATTCATCTGGAGTGAATTTTGAAGTCAATGCCAAACCTGATCTCAAAGAAATGTACTCTACATCTTGGAGAAATTGTAGTGCCTCTAGGTAGGATACATTGGAATCTTTGAATTCAGGATCATCTATTGATAGTCGTTGCAAGCTAATAAGGAAAAAGATTTCCATCTTGTCCAGCGATCTGTATCCTTGGAGATGATAAGAACTCGGTTCTTCAATCAAGATTTCGACTATGGGGATGAAGTTCTCGAAATCCACTTTCTTGTTTGTAGAATGCTTCAACATGAACTGATATAGTTTTCCTCCCAAGGATGGATTACCATCGCATAGAAACTCCAAACTCTCTTAGCAAAGATAGTCTGTTGAAGCAGTTCTAAAGAAAAACGAATTAATTATACTCTCTATAACGAGTGCGCAATCTATCAAACAATCTGCGTAGTTTATCCAACACCACTTCATTTAGTGAGATCTTATTCTCTTTACGTGATTCATTGCATCCCATTATATTTTTAATGTTATTAATATTATTATAGGTGGTCTTTGCGGATAGGCTCTTGACTCCAGCCAAAAGGCATGTCTATGAATAGATTCCTCACACTTTCTACTCTCCAAATGTTGATTCAACAGTCCTCCTTCAATACAATAGGTAATCAGTAAGACTATGTATCTACTAAGCTACCCAGGAGTTTATAGCATGGAGCTTGGAGAAATCGTTGATGGCGACTATATTCCAATTCATCCTAATGTGACTCTGGATCCATTCACATTGCCTGGATGCAATTAATACGAAAGAAGGTTGATATATAAACATTTAGTAAATCAATCAACCCAATCAACCAATGCATTTTTGACTAATATGTACATTGATGATAATCTCGTATTTGTTACAAGAAGTGATAATTCAATTCTGACTTTCGAAATTATCCTTGATATCCTTGATAGAACAGTTAATGATTTAAAACTAAAAAGCATACAAACCACTCATGGTAATAGTTCAGAACATCACATTGCCTGTTTCAATAAAACATGTGCTGTGTTTGGTTAGGATTCAGCTTTTGTATTCAAGGATCCAGATTTCAAACTTATAGATTTAGAGAAGAATGGTTAAGCCCAAAGATTTCC